CTAGCATCTAGTCACTGATGAATAGTTCTTAAAACATACTTGGCAATTAATGAGTTTGAAAATGTCTTCCTTATATATGTTGGAAAGCATATGCTATATGCTCTAGATTCTAGATGCCTTAGAAAATATTGCTGAAGGCTAGACACAGAACGGAGATCCCAAAAGAGAAGTTGAAAACATTGCCAACAAAATACAAACCCTAGAGTATAAATTGATGTGGGATAACATATTGCAGCATTTTTATTGAACAAGTTGAGCTCTCCATGATTCAGAACTAAATTTAAAGAGAAGCACAGATCTTTACCAGTTGTTAACAGAGTATTTACATGATTTCAGAAAAGATTTTGAAAAATTTGAAAACACAACAAAGCAAATACTACCCAAAACTGATTATCAAGCAGTTCACTATCGCAGAAACGTTAGGAAGCAACACGAAAATGATGGAAGTGTGCTCCAGAAGCCCCAAGTGCCAAAGATCAGTGTCACAGAGCCATAGACCACACCATCATGGGTACACTTGAAGCTTGCATGAAAAGAAAGGTGAAAGCATATGATGCTCTTTCAAATAGCTTCTCCTTTTGAAACAGTGTGGATATACTTGATGAAAAATGCATGAGGGCATCCAAGAAATTAGTGCAGGTTTATCCCAATAATTTAATTATAAACCTTTATGGGATAGTGTGATAACTTCATTCTTACATGAGAACTAAGTTCATGGATTGAGCAAAGACAAACTCTATTCATATAGGCATGTATGATTTCTACAATAGATAAAACAGAATGCATATTTCCTAATGTTGAAATTGCTTAACACATGTTTCAAACTTTAATGATCATAAACTGCACATGAGAATGCTCAGGTTTGTTACTAAAAAGACTCAAAACCCTCAGCATACAACAATGATTCAAGACTCTGTTCATTATCCTTATTATGTATGCAAGAAGCTAATTGTTTAACAGCTGAATTGTGATAAAATCATTGAAAAATTTAAGAGCAAAAAATAAAAAGAAATGGTTTAATATAACATGTTAGAGATCAGTCTAAAGTTAAAATATAGTGATTTGCTGTAATATTTGTTTTCTGCTCATTACATTTTCTTTTCATTTGTTCATTTATAACCTTTATTACAAAACAAGCATAAAAATTAGAAATATGAGTCATTTAAAGCAAAACAGTTGTTGTTGTTAAGTGCCATCGAGTCGATTCTGACCCATAGCGACCCTGTATAGGGTTTCCAAGGAGCAGCTGGTGAGCTTGAACCAGTGACCTTGTAGTTCGAACGACTTTGCAGTCTGACACATTAGCCCACAGCGCCACACCAGGACTCCAGTTGTGTACTGTTGAGTCAATTCTGACTCATAGTGACCCTATATAGGGTTTCTGAGAGGAGGTGGTGGTTTTGAACTGCTGACCTTGTAGTTACCAGCCCAGTGCTTATCCTACAGCAGCACACCTGGGCTCTAAAAACAAAATTGATGAAAGTCAATTTTTCATTGTGGGAGATAACAGAATTTACACTGATTGCTGAAACAGCCAAATGCACTGACTCCTTTTCTTTGTTGTAGACTATGTGGAATATTAGATAAAAGGGTTGTTGTTGTTATTGTTAAGTGCCGTCGAGTCGGTTCTGACCCATAGCGACCCTGTACAGGGTTTCCGAGGGTGTAAATCTTTACGGGAGTAGAAAGCCTCATCTTTCTCCCACGGAGCAGCTGGTAGTTTAGAACCGCTGACCTTAAGGTTCGCAGCCCGATTCGTAACCACTACACTACCAGATAAAAGGGTATATAGTAAAAATCTTAGTTCATTACATCCACTAAGAGGGGTACAATCCAGTTCATCTCATTCCACTAGAAAGGCCTACATCACTTTTGTGTTCAATTGCTAACATTATGTTGTTGCTGGTGCTGTTGTTTATGACCTAGAGTCGGTCCAGACTCATAGCAACCCTGTATAGGGCTTTCCGAGGGGCTGGCGGGTTTGAAGCACTGATCCTGTGGTTAGTAGTCCAGTGCTTATCCTAAAGCCCCCTACCAGGACTTCGCTAATATTATGCTGTTGTTGTTAAATGCTGGCGAGTCAGTTCCGCCTCATAGTGACCCTTGCAGAGGGTTTCCGAGGAGCAGCTGGTAGGTTTGAACCGCTGATCTTTCAGTTAGCAGTTCAGTTCGTCATAGATCACTAAGACACTTACACACACACATATATCCCATTCAGATGTGTAAGTAGAGGAGGTGACACCACAGGTTATCAGTGTTTAGGGCTTTCACATGCCTTAATCTGATCTTGCTGCCTAACTGATCTAGCTTCAGTTAGCAGTGAAGTGCTTAACCATGGCACCACCAGGCTCCTTCTAATAATGCTCAAACAAAACAAAACACCAAAAAGCTCCACAAGCTTACTGCCACTGAGTCAATTCTGACTCATAATGACCCTACATAAGGTTTTTGAGGCTGTAAATCTTTACGTAAACAGAAAAACCTCATCTTTCACCCTTATCCTGTAGCACCACACCAGGACTCCTCCAACAACAGTTCTAGGAGATGAGCAATTAGTATCCCCATTTCACTTAAGTGGAACTTGATGCTCAAAATTTGTCCACATTGCCACAACACGTGGCATAGTTGAAATGTGAACTTTGATCTGTTTTGTTTACAACACCAGACCTTTGTGCTAGAAGCCTCAGCTCTCCTTTATTTACCTTCTCTTCATGTTCCAATATCTTTTGGAACATAGAGAGTTTAGGTTCTCCGCCCCAACACTCTCTGATTTATCACCATTATATTTTTCATTTTCACAGAAGAGGCCAACCTCAGAGATACTGTGTGTTCAGTACCACAGCACTGCAATAAAGCAAATATCGCAATGACAAGTCACATGAACTGTTTGGTTTCCGAGTGCATATGAATTATGTTTACACTAGAGCAATAACATTATGAAAAAGTTTGACATATTGTGAGGATTACCAAAATAGGACACGGACATGAAATGAGTACAAGCTGTTGGAAAAGTGGCCCCAATAGACTTGCTGGAAGCAGGATTGCCACAAATGCTCAATTTGTGAAAAACCTCACTATCTGTGAAGCACAATAAAGCCATACATATAAATAAAATGAGGTATGCCTGTAGTGCCGCTGTGGGCTAATGAGTCAGACTCCAAAGTCATTTGAACTTCAAGATAGGTAGTTCAAGCTCATCAGGAGCTCCTTGGAAACGCTGTACTGGCATGGGTACAAATCAACGCCAGCATTGAACAACAACAGTATAATGCCACTGGTATACAATGCTCTTTTTACTCACATTACTTCCTTTAGTCAGCAGATTAATCAAAAGGGTCAGGTACCAGATTAAAAACAAACAATTTCTCAAAGGATTTATATAACGCAGTACAGCTTCCAGTTTAAATATCAGAGCTAGTTTTCTCTTTCTATAACCAAAGCCCTATTTTTTTTTTTTTGAACCAAAGCCCTATTTTTAGAATGAAGTCTATTTTTATTTTTATTCTAATGTAAAATATTAGACTAGAATCCGATTCCTTATGAGGGGCAGAACTGCCGGGATGGTGTCATCCAGGTCCATTTCCTTACTCACATAACAAAAACCTGAGTCCCAAAGGTTTGACTTACTGAGGTGCTGTTAATGGTAGTGATGGTTGTGTGCTATGGACTCATAGCGACCCTGCACAGGGATTCCGAAGCTGTAAATCTTTGTTATTCTTATTGCTGTTGAGTCGGTTCCGACCCATAGCGACCCTATCTATATAGGGTTTCTGAGGAGTAGCTGGTGAGCTTGAACTGCCGACCTTGCAGTTCAAACGGTTTTGCAGTCTGCTACATTAACCCACAGCAACACACCAGGGCTACGGGAGCCTAAAACCTCATATTTCTCTCGCGGAGCACCTGGTAGTTTTGAACTGCTGACTTTGAGGTTAGCAGCCTGCCTCGTAGCTACTACGCTACCAAAGCTCCTTGATGCCATTAATAGCCTTCAGTAATACCACTAATGTTTTAATTACCCCAGCTTCTCTGAAAATGGAGCCCTGGTGATGCAGTGGATAATGCGCTCAACAGCGAACTCAAAAGGTCGGCAGTTAGAACCCACCAGCCACTTGAGGGATAAAGGTGAGGCTGTCTACTTCCTTAAAGATGTATAGCTTTGGAAACCCCATATGGTAGCTCTACCCTGTCCTATAGGGTCACTGGAATCCTGGCGTAGCGCTGTAAGGTAAGCACAGGACTGCTAACCACAAGGATAGTGGCTCAAATCCACCAGTCACTCCTTGTTGTTGTTAAGTGCCGTCGAGTCGGTTCCGACCCATAGCGACCCTGTATAGGCTTTCCAAGGAACAACTGGTGAGCTTGAACCGCCGAGCTTGCAGTTTAGACGACTTTGCAGGCAGGCGCATCAACCCACAGCGTCACACCAGGACTCCCTATAAAGGGTCGCTAAGAGTAGGAACTGACTTTTAGGCACTTAACACTTCTGGTGTTGAGCTGCAGGATAATGCGTTGGACTGCAAAGTCAGTTTGAACCACAAGGTTGGCAGTCAAACCCACCAATCCTTCTTTGGAAACCCTATACAGGGTTGCCATGAGTTGGAACCGACTCCACTGCACATAACCATCACCACCACCACAGAATGGAGACAGAGGGACCTGCAATGGCAGTTCCCACTAGCAGGGCACATCACTGCAGAGGAAGAAATCTGGATGAGGGAATTTGGAAATCCATACACAGGCAAAGAGCCCCAAGCTCCCTGGTAGTGTAGTGGGTTAAGTGTGGGCTGATAAACTGCAAGGTCAGCAGTTCGAGTCCACTCGGCACTAAGATTTCTGCTCCCGTAAAGATTTATAGTCTCGAAAACCTTAGACATGGTCACTAAGAGTCGGAATCCACTTGACGGCCCACCACCACCACCACCACCACCACCCAGGGTCAAAGGAAGACAAGCACAATACACAGATTTGTTTCTGCTGGAGGCGAATACTGAAGTCAATACCTGTATTGAACAACTGACAGTGTGCTCTCAGGCTCGCCTGCAAAGCCCGGCAAGTGCTGATTTAGGTAGTCCTCCAGGGACCTTTGATCAAATTTGTGCTGGGGCAGCACTTCGGCAGTCTCAAGGTCCCGGGAGGCACTGGAATCCATGACTGCCACTCTCGAAGGCCGCTTGGTTGTGGAACCACTAGCCCTGGAGCGAGAGCCAAAAACTTAAGGTCAGGGGCGGGCCTATTAGCTCCAGCCAATCACACCCTGGGCACCGTTGCTGAGCAACTTGGCCAGCTACACTGGGACTTCTGCACAGTATGGAAATAACAGGTTTATTAGCATTTTAAATGTTCAGTTCGCTTTAGAGTCGGAGGCCTCAGTTTGAAAGAATTTTAAAGAAACGTAAAGCCCCAGCCGTCGGTAGAGGTGAATAAGACGAATAGGTCTCACTGATGCCTAAGTGTAAAGGCACCGGCAAGCGGAAGACTTGTTAGGGTCCGGTTCAGAAAAGGCTCCGTCAGGGTTTGGATCTCAAGAATCAAAGCTTCTCATACTTTCCCACGCCGCACAGGTAAGAGTCTATCCCTCACGCCATCGACCTTAGACACTTGTGACTTAGGCTCATAAGATCTGCAGAGGCCTGATCTCGTCGGAATGGACAGAAAAATGAAGCTGAACGCTGCCGACTTTTGTAGAGGAGGAGCTTTGACGGCAGCGCACCGGAAGCAGTACGGTAGGAGGCCCGCTGGACCCGGGAGACGTGTCTTTCTCGGAAACACTGGAGGTACCTTCCGCGGCTCTGGTTTAAAGCGGCGACTAGGCGCGTTTTCATTGTACCCATCGTGGGAGCAGCCGGCCGAGCAGCGTGGGGCGGCGGCGGCGGCGAAGGCCGGGACTGGGGGCGTTGGCGGCCGGAGTCCCAGCCATGGCCGACTCTGTGGAGCGTCTGCAGCAGCGGGTACAGGAATTGGAGCTGGAATTGGCCCAGGAGAGAAGTCGGCGGACCTTAGGGGGCGGAGATGGAGGGTGCGGCCGGGCCCGCATCGAGAAGATGAGTCCGGAGGTGGTGGACTCCAACCCTTACAGGTGACTTGTGTGGGGGTCTGGAGGCAGGGGAGCGGGACGAGGTCGCGACTCTCTGTAGTGACAAGCAGCAGGTAGCGCCCACCCTTTTTCAGTTGACTCGGCCTTCCGTCACCTTTCCTCTCATCTGGGGATTTCATTCTCAAATGCTTGAAGCCAAGTCTTAGTGCATCATGAGCTAGGCTGCAAATTGCAACGCCAGCAGTTAGAAACTACCAGCTGTTGGCGGGAGAAAGATGAGGCTTTCTGCTCCCCTAAGATTAACAGCCTCGGAAACCCTATGCATGGTCGCTATGAATCGGAACCGACTCCACAGCACACCACCACCACCACCATCAGTATTGGTTAGGAGATGTTCATTCTCTTTAAAAATTCCAAATGAATCAGCCATATGGTGTTGCTGTTCTGACTACTGAGGACACGTATCCAGTTTTCTGTCGTCCGTACTTCTGCTAGTCTGTCTTGTGCCACATAACACTGAACGCTTAGAAGATGACGTGTAATCTAAAATTCCCTGTGCATAATTTTGTTTTAAAGTTTTACAGCAGACTCTCAATGTTTCTTAAATGAAAGGGTGAGTGGAGGGTCGGAGATATTAAAACATTCGACGCTGCCAACCCCATAGATCCCTCTCCTTTTTTGCTTGGTGTGGCGCTGTAGTTTAAGCACTGGACTGCAGGTCGCTTTGATCTGCAAGGTTGGCGGTTCAAACTCACCAGCTGCTCTTCGGAAACCCTATACTAGGTCGGTATACTTCGGGACTAAATCAACAACACTCAATAACAACAAGAAGACTGTAGTTCAGCGGTCAGTATACAATACTGTGATTAAGGGTAAGGACTCTAGAACCCGACTGACTGGATTCAAATCCAGCTCTCTTGTATTGTTGTTAAGTGCCATCCAGTCGGTTCTGACTCACAGTGACCCTGTATAGGGTTTCCAAGGAGTAGCTGGTGAGTTCAAGCCAACGACCTTGTGGTTCAGACCTTGAGGTCTAGTGCTTATCCTGCAGCTCCAAACCAGGACTCAGGAATGTAAACATTTGGTATATTCTGTCTCATTTGATTTATTAAAGTTTTTTTTTTTTAATTGCTAAATAGAAGATGGCATTTGTCACCCAAAATTGCTTACTGCTATTAAGTGCCAGCTAGTCAATTCCGACTCGTAGGGTATAAGGTTTCTGAGGGGCAGTTAGTGGATTTAAACTGCACACCTTCCAGCTAGCAATCCAGTGCTTATCCTACAGTGCTATTAACCTTAAGTGTTTGAATTGTTCATTCACTCAACTATTGTTTATTGAGCATCTTTTCCTCGCTAGCCCTCTTAGGATAGTTCCCACCATCTCTTAAGCATTTCATACTTATAAGCTCTAGGGCTACAAAGTTGTTGTTAAGTGCCATGGAGTCCATTCCAACTCATAAGGATCCTGTATAGGGTTTCCAAGGAGCCTCTGGTAGGTTTGAACCACCGACCTTGTAGGATAAGCAGTCCATCACATCAAGACTCAAAAGTTACAGAGTAGACATGGCCTTTTCCCTCTAGAGCTTACCCGATGAGAGTGAGATAGAAAGGTAAACATGCACTTGTCCTACGGTGATAAGAATTATGATAGAGAGCATATGCAAACCAAATGCATTGCTATTGAGGAGATTCCTAGTCATAGTGACAGTATATGACAGTAGAACTGCCTCATACAGTTTCCAAGGCTATCATTTTTATTTGTCATATCTATCTCTCAAGGAGTGGCTGGAGGAAACCATGCAGCTTTTGGTTAGCAGCAGTGTGCTTAATCACTGTGCTACTAGGAATCTTTAGGGAAAGTACAGGACTGTGGAAAAACATAGGAAAGGGGCTTTTAGGTGTTTTTTAATGAATGTGAACTATTGATCAGCTAACAAGTAAATGTGAAATTGTGTGTTGTAGAATGTAAAGTATGTGCAGAAAATAGAGAAGTAAACAGACTGGGGGATTAGAAAACCTGGTTTCCAATCAGGCTCAGAAACATAGCTCTGAATATGGTTTACCAGTTAGCTGTGTAGTCTGGAGCAAGTTAATTCACCTGAATCTTTTTCTCATCTGTAAAATGGTGTTGCAATACATCGTTCTCAGGGTTATACATAAAGATTACTATGGTTAAGTGCTGAGGAGTCAGTTCTGACTCATTGCGGCCTTGTATAGGGTTTCTAAGGCTTTAAATCTTTGTGGTAGCAGAGAGCCTCATCTTTCTCCCTCAACGTAAAGATTCGAGGAAGGTGAAGATGTCCTGTTGACCGCAGACATTTATAATATCACTTTCTACTCCACCACATTAAAATCCTACTAATGGGGTTTTTAGAAAGGAATAAATTCTTATTTTTTAAAAAAGTGTTTCTAATAATAATTGGGGGTTATATCCAACATGGTGGAGCACTGTCGGATAAACACTGGACTGCTAACCAGAAGGCCAGCAGTTCAAACCCATCAGCCACCTGCTCCTTGGAAACCCTATACTCACAGGTTTGCTGTGAGTCTAAATTGATCCCATGGCACTCAAGAACAGCAGAACAATTTTATGATTATAATATGGTTTCATATCCTGGCAAATGAAAAATGCCAACAGAAATGGAAATTTCTATAGAAGGGTTGGAAAATAAAGTTGAAATAAATTATCCAGAAAATTTAGAGCAGAAAACTTAAGTGACAGGAAATAGGAGAGCAAAAATAAATGTAGAGGGCCAGTCTGACTGGTGGCCTGACTTCCTAATAGTAGGCGTTCCAGCGTCCAGGAAAACAAGGACATCTTCATTTAGATTTTAGAGAAGTTCTCAGAATTGAAAAACATGAGTTTCCAGGATAAAGGCTCCTTTATAGACTCAGCACAATGAATGAGACTAGATCCACACCATGGCATGCTGTGAACGTTCAGAATAAGCACTAATACGAACCTGGACTGCTGGTGTGGGGCTGTAGGATCAGTACAGGACTGCGAGCCATAATGTTGGCAGTTCATCCCCACCTGCTGCTCCTCAGAAACCCTGTACAAGGCTGCTGTGAGGTGGAATTGATTCGATGGCACTTAACAACAACAAGATCCTACAAGTTATAAGGCCAGATGACAGCATCAGAGTTTAGTTCTTGACACAGTCATTCTAGACATTTTGATGGAACTTTCTTTCTAACCTAAGTTCTTGGTTGGTGTAAGTGCCTTGGAGTCAAGAAAGAGCAATGTTCTTTACAGTGAGGATCATTCCCACCTCCTCCATACACAGAGTAGACAGGGATGGACAACTTGGACATTGGCTACCCAAAGTGGGGGGTCTACAAACGGAACCTAGATGCAGAGGGTGTGGAGGAAGGTAGAATCTCCACTGAGTAGTATCTAATCTGTCTAGGTGGGGTTGATGAAAAGAGATGTGGATAGGTCTCTTGTGATACAATAGTGAATAATTGTTATCAGGACTGCTTGTGAGGTTTGGAAATATAAAGGTAGACGTTTTGTAGCAAGGAAGGGAGTGATTAATTTCTCAGAAAAGGAGCGGAGGTCCCTGGGACCATCAAGGGAGAAGAGCGGAGAGTGGGACCCTACCCAGAGAAGCAGTGATGCCTGAGATGGAGACAGAGACGATGATGTGGAGAGATGGAGCAGCTGGGGACTTTAGACCCAGAGAGGGAGAGGGGCTGTGTGCTAAAGACCCGGGGGCAGCCTTGCAGGGTATACCCTTTGGCTGATTGATGATGCATGGAGGGGATTGTAACCAAGGCAATGAAACAATATATGGTAGGATGAATGTAAAACTAAAGTTCTCCCTGGAAACTATCACATAATTCACAATAAAACATTTTAAGGAAAGAAAGAACAATGTTAGCATTGTTTTTTAGAGATACATTGATAACAAAGTTGAAACTGTGGGAGGAAACAAAAGGAGATTTCCTAACAGACCAGATTAAATAATTGGACTCTATTTGAATTGTAAACAAATGGAAATTGTATGTACATAGATTTAAATTGTGTGTGTGTGTCTGTCCCTGAAGCACTGGACTGTTAACTACAAAGTTGCGAGTTCAAACTCACTAGCCGATCTGGGGGAGAAAGCTGAAGTGCTCTGCTCCTGTAAAGATTTATAGCATCTGAAACCCTGTACAGGGATCTGTATAGTATGTTGTTGTTAGGTGTCATCGAGTCGGTACCGACTCATAGCAACCTTATGCACAGTAGACTGAAACACTGCCCGATCCTGGGCCAACCTCACTATTGTTGCCACGCTTGAGCCCATTGATGCTGCCACTTGGCCAATCCATCTTGCTGGGGGTCTTCATCTTTTTTCTGACCCTCAACCTTACCAAACATGGTATCCTTCTCCAGCAACCGGTCCCTCGTGACAATATGTCCAAAGTATGAGAGACGAAGTTTGGCCATCCTGGCCTCCAAGGAGTACTCTGGCTTCACTTCTTGCAACACAGATCTGTTGGTTCTTTTGGCAGCCCATGGCACTTTCAATAGTCTCCTCCAACACCATAACTCAAAAGCATCAATTCTTCTACAGTCTTCCTTATTCACTGTCCAGCTTTTGCATGCAGATGAGGTTATTGAAAATATTTAAAAGCTAACAGAACAGATTAGTAGTAACTAGGTAAAGTATCTCTTACTGTGGTTGACATATAAAGGCCGAACTTTGAACTGCTTCATCCTGGTTTAATCAGAGCTGATGAAGCGACATGGGAGCAGACCCACATTTCTAAATGTGGGTGAACTGGAATGCTAACCAAAACAGAAAAAATTATGGGTCAAAGCCCACCTCGCAACTAATCTTAGACAACAAGGGCAGCATGTGTGTTGCACAACAACCAAATCTTTTGACTAGCTGAGTCGAAAACAAGGGTGCCTGCCTCAAAGATGGCAGTTGATAGTGCCAGTTTGAATGTATGATGCTCTCCACAGCCTGGCAGTGATTCATGGTCATGCATCAGGCACCTGTTCAGTCTCCTGTTCCAGGCCTTCAACCTGGGGGTGGGGGTTCTGATACAAGGGTCATTACCCTATTTTCTAATCCCCAGAGCATGCTTCATAAGACAGGGAGGGAGGATTTGCACATTCTGAAGGTAATTGGAAAGGTGAGCCCGAGTAGACAAAATACATGATAATTCGTGCTGGTGGTTATGTGCTGTGGAGTCGGTTCTGACTCATAGCGACCCTGTACAGGGTTTGGTTTCTGAAGCTGTAAATCTTTACGGGAGCAGAAAGCCTCATCTTTCTCCCGTGGAATACCTGAATCCCAGCCCGAATTGTAACCACTACGCTATCAGAGTAGTTATTTAAGAATCACTAGGATGAGGTTGTACTTGCTGGGGGAGGGCCTTTCCCAGAAACTTCAGTGTTTACTGCTTGCTCAGCCTTGCTGCTCTCGTGAAAAGGAAACACGCTTTACCATTCACTTTGGTGAGACACTGCGTGTTCATTAGGGGATGTGACACTCCAGTCACGTTTATTCTGAGGATGGAGGTCTGAGTGCTAAACATATACTGAGAAAGCATGGAAAAAAATGTTGATTTTACTTTGACCTTTCTCATGTAGACACAACGTTAGTCCTCAAACTTGGCTTCATATCAGAATATCTGAAGCACTTAAAAAAAAAAAAAAATCTTGTTGGTCAGACATCAGTGCTTTAAAGCTTCCCAGGTGATTTTAATGTGCAGCTAAGCCTGCAAGTTAATTTAAAGATATGTGAAATGTATCTGGTATATACAGGTGAGTCTCCCTGTTTAAAAGTGCTAATGATTCAGTTTTGGTGTTTAAATTCTGTGATTATATATGTCTTGTTTCACTGTGAACTGAAAGTTGTAAGCTTTAAAACTTATTTTCCCTTTTTTTTTTTTTTAAAAGTCGCCTGATGGCACTGAAGCGAATGGGAATTGTAAATGACTATGAGGTATGATAAACTTTTCCAAGTTTTTGAAGACATTTACTGTAACTGAAAGTAATTTCTGGTGACGTATTTGATAAAGTTATTAACCAATTCATATGATGTTGCATTTCCAGAAAATCCGAACCTTTGCTGTAGCAATAGTGGGTGTTGGTGGAGTTGGTAGTGTGACTGCCGAAATGCTGACGAGATGTGGCATTGGTAAGGTAAAAACATTTCTCTTTGCCTGTCATATAGGGAACCACTCACTCCTCAAATACATCAGGTACAAGTTAGATTTTTTTTTTCTTCATTACTAATGGTTTATTGATTTGTTGTGTTTATTCACATTGTTCTCTCTGCCTGAATGGTTTAAGCTATGTGTATCTCCACCTAAATGGAAGCTGCTATTATGACTAATTAAGCAAATACTACTTAACTGTGTTCAGTAACTTCTTTTTTGGAGGGAGAGGTAATATAGAACAATATGCACTTAAGTGTTTTAGAGATAGAAACTTAGGAAAGAAGGCTTTTAAATCAAATATTTTTTTATTCATATTTTTCTTTCTCCTTGACAGTTAAGCTGTTTCTTCACCAAATGGGAGCTGATATTATTGCTAATTAAGTAAAAACTACCTAATTATGTTCAGGAACTTCTTCTGGGGGTCAGAGGCAGGGGGAACAGTTAAAAAAAAAAAAAAAGGTAACTTTTCCCATACCGGCATTCAGTCTACCAATCTTAGATGTACAGTGGTTGAATAGATAATCATTCCACAGTTATATATGCGGTTGTCCTTGAGCAATACAAGTGTGAACATGGGCCCACTTACACGTGGGTTTTTTGCCCTGTTGCTATTGTGAGCATCCGCTTAAAATGCCCTGTGACTCTAGTCATTTCCTCATCTCTCTAGACAGGGGGAATGGATGGGTGAGGAGCTAGTAGTTACTGGAAAGAATTTCACAATGGAGGTGATTAGTATCACATGGCATTTTAAGGGGATACTTGCAACACTTGAGCTCACCTCTCCTTGCCTTTGCAACTTTGCTTTTGTGCAAACATTGCCTGTTAGGTCTCATATATTCAAAGTTGGTTATTCTGAAGAGTTACATTCGTCACAGGTATTTTTGTTTATTTGATAGGCTAGTGTATTCCTTAGCTAAAAGATGACTTCTGGGAGTCGCTTCAGTCCAGGTTAATAGGATGTCTTCGGGCAGTAGTCTCAGGGTCTCCTTTTTATGAGTTTGAATTTTGTTTGCATTGTTCTTCCATTCTCTGTGGGACCTTGTATTGGGTCACTGGTCAGAGTAGTTGGTAGTGGTAGCTGAGCACCATCTTTTTCTGGTCTCAGGCTGGAAGAGGCTGAGCTTTGTGTGGGCCATTTGTCTTGTGAACTAATTGCTTCTGTGAGTCTGATTTTCTTCACTTTGTTCCAGATGGAAGGAAACCATTATAGTTGTTTCTTTAATGGTGATTTGAAAAGCTCGCCAAAGTAGGATGTAGAACATTTTGAACTCTGGTATGCCAGTTGACCTAGGTGTCCACTGAGACTAAAGTCCGTAACCGTCAACGTAGTTCCCTGAGGAGTTTGGATATGTCTAAGAATTTCCTCTGTGTGCTGTATTAAACTATGAATATATATGTAGCACATACAAATATACAAGACAAAACAACTATACTTATATATGGTGTGGTGCTGTAGGATGAGCATTGCATTACTAACTACAAGGTCGATAGTTCAGACCCACCAGGCACTCCTTAGAAACCTTACACTATGAATTGGAACCAACTCGACGGCACTTAACAGCATGCCTAGATGTGCATATGCCTGTACTCCCATATGCTCTGCCATACCTATGAAACGTACATATATACCTATGTTGTTGTTGCTAGGTACTGTGAGTTGGTTCTGACTCATAGGGACCTTAAGCACAACAGAACCAAGCACTGCCCAGTCGTGTGCCAACCTTACAATCATTGTTTCACCTGAAACTATCGCTGCTGCCACTGACATTCCGTCTTGTTGGGATCTTCCTCTTTTTCGCTGACCACCATTCCAGGCATGATGACCTTCTCCAGGAACGGGTCCCTCCTGATAATATGTCTGAAGTATAAGAGTCAAAGTCTTGCCATTATGCCCTCCAAGAAGCATTTTGGCTGTGCATCTTCCAACACAGATTTGTTTGTTCTTGTGCCAGACCATGGTACTTTTAATATTCTCTTCCTAGTAAGAATTGAAGTAAGTCTTTGACGACTTCCATTTTTTTCTCCATTTATCATAATATCATTCATTGGTCCAGTGATGAGGATTTTTGTTTTCTGGACATAGAGGTACAGCCCATACTGAAGGCTGTGGTCTTGGATTTTCATCAGTAAGTATTTGAAGTCCTCTTCATTTTCAGCAAGCAAGGCTGTATCATCTGCATATGTTGTAGTTGTTAGTTGCCGTTGAGTCGATACTGACTCATAGTGACTGTATGCAAAACAGAATGAAACACTGCCCAGTCCTTTGCCAATCTCACAATCGTTGATAAACTTGAGCTCATTGCTGCTGCCACTCTGCCAATTTTCTTGTAGTCTTCCTTTTTCATTGATATCCTTCTCTTGGAACAGATCCCTCCTGATAATATATCCGAGGTATGACACACAAACTGTGGTCAACCTGGCCTCTAAGGAGCATATTGTAGCTGCACTTCTTCTAACACAGATTTGTTTGTTCTTTTGGCAGTTGTCCATGGTACTTTTAATATTCTTCTCTAACATCGTGGCTTGGGTCAGGCTCACCTTAGTTCTCAAACTGACATCTTTGCTCTTGAACACTTTAAAGAGGTCTTGTGCAGCAGATTTGCATAATGCAATGCATCGTTTGATTTCTTGACTGCTGCCTTCAAGAATAGATTTAATGCATTAGGCACTAATGACCCTAAAACCAGAAGAGTTGTGGGATGACATCTAGAACATCATAAAGGATAAAAGCAAAAGGTCATTAAGAAGACAAGAAAGAAGACTTAAGTTGTTAATGAGTCTTTCTTCAATCCTGATGCCCTGTTTTTCTTCATATAATCCAGCTTTTCATATTATTTGCTCAGCATACAGATTGAATTAAGTATGGTGAAAGAATATGGTGAAGGAATACTGACACATACCTTTCCTGATTTTAAACTATTCAGTTTCTCCTTGTACTGTTTGCATGACTGCCTTTTGGTCTATGTACAGGTTCCTTATGAGCACAGTTAAGTGTTCTGGAGCACCCATTCTCTGTAATGCTTTCTATAGTTTGTCATGATCCACACAGTTGGATTTTTTTTTGTAATCATTAAAATACAGGTAAACATCTCTCTGGTATTCTCTGCTTTTAGCCAAGAGCCATCTGATGTCAGCAGTGATATCCCTCATTCCATGTCCTCATCTGAATCTGGTTTACACCTCTGGTAGTTCACTGTCAGTGTACTCTTGCAACCATTTTTGCAGAGTTCCACCAGAGGGCTTGAAAAAGTTAGTGGAGAAATAGAATTAAAATAAAAGTTAATCTTCCCATGAGCAGTTTGATGTCCCCGTGTATATGTTATAGCACTCACAGTGGTGTGGTGGTGTGTGTATGCTGTCGAGTCGATTGTAACTCATACAGACTCTTTATAGGGTTTCTGAGAGCAGCTGGTGGATTTGAAATGCCAACCTTTTAGTGATTAGCCCAAAATGTCACTGTTGTCCTTTCTTTTTGTATATATCTATCTTCGTTTGCCTTGGTCACATTGTCTTATTCAGTATTCAGAATGCCTTTCCCTTCACCAGCATTAACATGAGTCTGCTGTCTAGTAAGTAACCCTCCTCCTCTTATCAGGGATAACCGTCAAAGAATGTTTCTTCCAAGATGTATATAATATTTGTCCTTGAGTTATTTCATTAAGCACCATGTCCTCCAGATTCATCCATATTATGTTTCTTAAACTCATCACTGTTCTTTATTGTTGTATAGTATTCTATTGTATGTATATACCACATTTTGCTTACTCATTCATCTATTGGTGGACACTTAGGTTGTTTTAACCTTTTTGCCATTATGAGTAATGCTGCAATGAACATGGATTGTGTATCCATCTGAGTGGACGTCAAAAAGTTCCTGGAACATTTCTGTTATCTTTGAATTCCCTTGTTCCATAAATGTTTTGAAGCCCCCTCATGCCTTTTCATGTCATTGTTCTCATTGTTCTTACTGTTCTAGGATATATTCCTAGGAGTGGGATTTATTGGATCATATGATATCTTGATTTCAAGCTTTTTGAGGAAGCACCATACCATTTTCCATAGAGATTATTCCATTTTACAGCCAAACCAACAATGTATAAGAGCTTCAATCTTCCCACAACCTTGCCAGCAAATGTTTTTCTGTTTTTGATCAATGCTGTTTTTGCAGGGGTGAGATTATATCACCTTGTAGTTTTTTTTTTGTTTTTTTTAACTTTTTATTGTAAATTGAATGAAGTTTTACAGAGCAGATTATAAATTTTATATTCAACAAATCTCATGCTTCGTTTCATTTCAGTGATTGCATCCTGTCAACGTAACATCATTTATTCCGATTCCTTCCTATGATTCTTTTTTGAATTTTGAGTGCAGGTGGCTTTTATTATAGTTATTAAATAGATAAAGCTATATATTAAAGTGAAATTTACATTATCAGTTGTCAAATGCCAGAATCATATCTGCAGAATCTCAGAACCAAATTGGAAAAATTCCCACATTAGAGTAATCCTTGCTGCTCCTCGGAAACCCTCTATACAGGGTTGCTATGAGTCAGAACCAACCGGAAAGTACTTCACAACAACAATGGTAATTCTTAATTTAGTAACTATGTAACTTAGTGTTACATAGTTTTTTAAAAGAGATTTCAGATTAAAGCAAAAAGCTCCAAATCAAACTGAGCAGTGAATGGCACGCAGAGTCCAGCAGCGTTTACGTTCCTTAAGGGTTTATGCTTCTTTTTTTTTTTCCAGTGTTTTATTGTGAATTTATGATAGTTTACATGGGAGAACATTAGTTTTACATTCATCTTATTGTATATCATTTCATTGCCATGGTTACAAGCCCCGCCATGCATCATCAACCAACCAAAGGGTATACACTGCAAGCCTGCCCGCCGGTCGTCAGCACACAGCCCCTCTCCCTCTCTGGGTCTAAAGTCCCCAGCCACTCCATCTCTCCATGTCATCATCTCTGCCTCCATCTCTG